GCACTGTCTGCAAAAGCCGGCGACGAGTCCTTTCATCGCGGTGTTCTTGTGTGAATTAAAGTTGCACCCCGTTTGGTGTCACATCCTAGCTGTCTTTCAGAAACAAAGCTTGAACATGTGAAAGCCGTTCAAGTCAATGTTCAGGTCAGCCATGGGTTATACGTATCAGAACGTTAAAATAATTTGGCTCCTGAGACAGGGATTTAAACACAGTTTGCTCGCAGTTATCTAGCCTGCCATTTTCCTCTGCAAAAACTTATATACTATAGCGAGTCCCTTGTGAGGGATGGGGCCAGACTGGGGTGTTTCACCTTCCTCTACAACAGTAGTAGGGGTAGGGCTACTTGGAAGCACAGCCCTGCAAATTCTTTAAATAGGGCTCCAAAAGCAACCTGTGCCGAAGGAAGCAAAAGTAGAGCTATGTAGGACCAAGAGACGAATGCGGTACCTGGCTTCTGCACCCCACCCCAGGCTTTGTAATGGGAATCCTGCCTCTGATCTTGAGGATAAGAGATGCCTCCCACAGGAACCAGTTTTCGCAGCAGGGGAGCACAGAAAGGATGAGTTTAGGAGGGCAAACCTGCACTGCATATCCATCTGTGATCAACAGGAGAGCTCCTCTGCTCTTCATCTCTCCCATCCTGATAAAAGAAGAGTGTTTGCCGCCCTGCTTTTTGGGTCTGAGGGAACTGGATGAAGAACCCCAGTAGCAGCAAGGAAAAAAGGGGCAAAACAGATGTGGATTGACTTTGGTTGGGGGATAAAAATTGGTGGGGGATGAGCAGCTGGACCACTTTTAGCATTGAGTAGAACAGGGCAGGCTGAGGTGCTTTGAGGCCAGACCAGATAATCTAGTTGCCCCTTCTTTCTCTAAAAGCCATGAATTTCAGGGTATTAAATACTCTCATTTAAACTTTGGACCAAAGACAATGTGTGTTGGGGGGGAGAGGAGGTGGAAAACACTGCATCGCAACATGTAATTTGTTCTTTTGATCTGACACCTCTATATTAAGTATCACTTTTCCTAGAATATGAGATAAAGTAGGTTTTTGTGAAAGTAATGAACAGTAAATCTACCATTAAATCTTCAGGGAGCAGAGTGAAGCCACTGGATCTGTGTGAGAATTACAGGTTTTTCAGATTAACAGGGTTAGGATTCCCATAGGTGCTCGGGGATCCTTCTGCCCTAATGTCGCCCTTAACATAAGAAATTTAATGCAGCTCCCAGAGGTCAAGAATCTGACCGCACACCGGGGTAAAACAGGAGTTACTCTACTAAGTCAAAGAAGTTATTCCAGTGTAAACGAGACCAGAATCAGGCTCATAATCCTGGACTACAAGCACAGGCTGAGAACTGCAGGTACTTCCCATGAATAGGTATTTCCCATGAACAGGTCCAGCTAAGTTTATAAAACCCACGGAGGTGTGAAGTCTGTAGCTGCACAGAAGTGGAGAACTGACTCCATTGAAATGTAAAATTCAGACTTTTTTTGGGGTCAGAGAAAGCGCCTTTAGTTCTCCCGTGTGCCTGTGCACCTGACATTTCAGGGCTATCCTTCCATAAAGGGGGGATACAGCTTGAATGCTACTGTCTCCCTTGCAGCGGAGATTTCCTTGCCCCCACTTCTTTACTATTAGTGTGAGTCTCATGAAATCCTGTTGAAAACAGCATGCTGGGATCTCTAAACTAAAATGAACTTGCTCTGTAATGTACTCAGAACAACATATTCACCCGCAGCCATTCACTTGAAGCATGCAAAGCACTAGCTGGGAAAACCTGAGATCCCTATGTATGTGTATAAAGGCATGACTTGCCCATGTGCCCTCCTCCTCCTTCGCATTGTTCCAGCAACAGTGGCATCTGTGTAAACAGCCTGCCCAGGTCCAACCTCCAGGAACAGGAAGGGGCAGACAGTTTTTGTTCACGAATTGTGGGCCTTTTAACCACTAACAAGGCTTTTAATTACTGCCTGTCACTGTTGTCAGGAGAAGCTGTTCAGCAGCTGCTTATTATTGGCAAGAGAAGTGATTCTAATCGGTTTCTGTTTAAACGCTCGTCCACCACTTCCAGCCCTGGTCCCTCAGTTCCCTTTTGTCCTTAATTCTCAGCCCACAAATGAAGGTGCATTCCTGTCAGCTTTGATTTCTTCCAACGACTAATTAACGTTGCTTGAATTCACTCAAATACCTAGTGCCAGCGAAGTCCCTCTGGTAAGGAAATGAGGAGGCAGCCGTCTCCTTCCAAGTCATACCCTCCAGGTAGCAAAAGGCATATTAAATCTTGCTCTGCTATTTAATAGACCTGGGCATGGGCACCACTTTGAATTGTCCCTTTATTTCCGCCCAAGCTACGCCACGTAAGTACCAGGAGGAGAGCTAGTTCTGCAGAGCGCAGCAAAACGTTGCGGACTTATTTGCAGGTTGCTGAAGTTGACATTTGCTACTGGGACCCGGTGGATTCCTAAGTGAATCGAACTGTCGGTTGCATGCTGGGAGATGGAGTTATGGTCCGATTTAACCCCAAAAGAGTGTCTTTCATATATGTAATCCAGGGAAGAGATTTTAACATATTGAAAGTAATGTAACAAAAACCAGGTTCTGGAAGTTGACTTGTGAGTTTAGATGCCTCGTGTTTTGGGCACCCACGTTATGACACCTTCAGGCCAGATTTTCAGAAAATATGGAGTAGTCATCCTCTGAAAATGAAGCCCCTAAGGTGTCTGAGTTGGAGGCCAAGGGCTTAAGATGCTCAAAATCACTGCTGACTTATGAAGATCTTGGTCTCTGTTTTTCACCAGTTCCTCAAAAATAAATTGGACTCGAATAGAACCCAAAAGGGATTTTGCAGATGCATACCACTGTCACTTTAGCAAATGCTTCCAGATGGGGGTCAGCCAGCCCTTTTCTGTTGCCCCTCTTGATTGCACGTAAAGTACATAATGATAACTCAGCTAACAAGACGCATAGGACCAGTCAGAGTAAGTTCTTTATGCAATACACATTGAGTGAATGGTAGCCCCCTTATGGCTAATGGCAGCCCAGTACTATTTCTGCCCACCCTCCCAGCACAATTTTCCATGATTTCCTATCTGTTTTCATATAAAACCTCCTTGCCATAAGTAATGCATTGAGCTTGTACGCTGAGTGTGTTCTGGAAAATAACTCTGTCTTTATATTAGCTGCAACAGGGAGGAGATTGCAATCTAGGAGCAGATCTTTTATTTTATTTCCATTTATTGCACATGGTGTTAGGAAAGTCTGATGTTATGAAGCTGAACTTTAATCATACTCTTTAATGAAAAAGATAACTATCTGTAAAGGGCGTCTTGATATTTTCCAGTTTGTGATCTTGCCTCATATTGCTTTAAATCATTAATTGAAGCTTTTCTTAAAAAAACAGACTACTTTTTCGGTACTCCGTGGTCATTTCCAAACACCCAAATCCACCTGTGCCACATGTATGTAATAACCAGGGATCCTAAAAATCTGTTTGACACAGAAAAATGTGGACTTTGCAACTTTACAGAGAATCTTTAGAATCACCAGGAAAAAGAAATTAAAACTTAAAATTGAAATTGAAAATAAAATGCTGGCTCCCCAGTCAGACCCAGCAGTTCTCACGGCCGCTGTGGCAGCCCACTGGGGGGAAAAAGCCGCCGGCACACAAGGAAGCAGCCACGATGGCGGCCACCCCCCTCCTTCCTCTGCTGCTGATTAGCTGAGAGGGCTGCCCATCACAGAGCCCCGCCCTCTCCACCAATCAGCATCAAGGGGCAGGGCTGCATGAGTGGCAGCCCTCTCTGCCAATCAGTGCAGCATGGGGCCACCTGAAGGGCCAATCAATAGTAAAGGGATAGGGCTCCTGTTGGGACCCCTCAGCCAATCAGTGCTGGGGGTGGGGGGCTCACCATGGAAAAACATGGATTTTTATGGGTTTATTTTATCTGAAAATGGACTTGTTTTAATCATGGGAAACTAGGATCCCCTGTGATAACATGCACAGACCCGGGATTTCCAAAGGGGATGAGGCACACTGCCCCTCAGACCATGGGGGAATGGGGGCAAGGCATGGCTGGAGTCTGTGGGTTGGCAGGGGACACCAGGAGTGCATGAAGAGGGGTGGGGGCTGCCTCCCTCAGCTCCCTATTGACCTGGCTGCTGCTAGCCCTGGCTGACCTGGGCCGGGGGGGAGTCCCACAGCCACTGCTACCACACTTCAGTCTGGGGCTGTGGGATGTGCCTACACGGGGTGCTGGGCTCAGCTGGGGACAGCAGTGGTGCTCTGCATGTTCTCCTTTCTGTGCCTGCTCCCAGCTCGCAAGGGACAGCTGTGGGGGAGCAGTGGCCGGGGAGCAGACGCTGGAAGAAAGAACTTATGTGCCGCCCCTGCTGATCCCTGCTGAACCTGGCACCCCACATAGCTACAGCCTGTAACTCTGGGGCTTCCTCTGCACCCAGATCAGCTGGGGTAGGGGGTGCGACAGCACTGTGGCACACCCCCTGGATTTGCCCCTATGTGATAATAAATAGTAGTCAGATAATAGAGTAGCCAAAGCAAAGTATTTCTTTGCGATGAACATTCATGAAGCAAATCAGGAAACAAGAGTCCAGGTTAAAAATCAGTTAGGGACTTTCTCAAGCTCAAATTTTCCCAAGGTGAAAATACTTAACATGGTACTGTATGATTGTGTGATGTGGGGTGGGTCTAGGCTGTATAGTTACACTGCCTTCTCATGGCTGGAATAGGAATCATTTAATTGTGAGCCATAGTCCATGCATTGCTAGAAGTTAATGGAGAGTCATATTGCATGCCTCAGTTTCCACAGGGGGCATCTGCCCCTGGGCCTGGCTGAATATAAATTCCATCTGCTTTGCATAAGTGTGCTACCAAAGTAAGTTTTTTCAGTGAGATCAGTATCTTGCTCCATAGCAGTAGACGCATTTTATTTCAGAAAGAGCTGTTTCTCCTAATGTATATGTTTTTTTTCCCTTTGAAATAGCATATGCGAGAGGCTGCTGAACGGCGGCAACAGCTGGAGTTGGAGCATGAGCAAGCCTTGGCTGTTCTCAATGCAAAACAGCAGGAAATTGAACTCCTGCAGAAGGTAGGTAGAGAAAATGAAAAGGAAGCAAAATGGCAGTGATAGGGCACAGGTAAAGAAATGGATTTGTAGTCAAACTGAACTTCATCTGAGCCCATCGCAAACTCCAAAAGCCAGCTTCCTATTGTCCAGAGGTATTCAGCCTGATTGCTCATTTAGTAGTAGTGTACGTGTGTTTTTTGTCTTGGGTAGCTGTGGTCATAGCACTTAAAACCAGAAGGGACCATTCAATCCTGTACTTTGACCTGTATGCACAGGCCATTACATTTCACATTTAAAGCCTAGGGCAGCTAACTCCTCTCTTTGCCAATAGATTTGCATTGGATTTGCCTTTCTTACCTTTTTGTTGAATATTTCTAATTGCTTGAGACAGGTCCTCATTAAATACTATCGTATCTGGGCATTAATGTGGTGGGAACCCTTTAATAGATTTGGAATTTAGACATAGTACTACTCTAAACTTGATAAGATGCCAAGGTAATATGCCCATAAACAAAGCCAATAACTGCTGCTTGCGGGTGCATTTGCTGTACCGCTGAGGTAGAATAATAAGCAGTTATTTATGTATTGT